AGGAAGAGAGGATCTGGAGAATGAGGGGAGTTTCCTTTTCGCGGAATTGAGGCTGCTGGTTGCCTTCAGTTTTTACCAGTGTCCAAGCAGCAGTGCGATGAGAAATCCGCGGGAACTGGTGGCAAATCGGTGCCCTGCTGCTTGGCGAGCAGCTCCGGGAGGCTTCAGCGAGGTGCCCCGAGGGACCGTGGCCTGGGTCTCGCAGAATGGATGCGGGTTTGCCCCCAGCTGCCACAGGAGGGACAGGAGTCTGCCAGGTGTGCAAAAAGGTAGACGTCGCCTGTGCTCAGGGTACGTTTGGACGCATCACTGATCCCACAGACTGGCTGCGTGCACGGAGGCTCTGTCATTAGCAAAGGGAGACAGATTTCCATCCCAAAGTGATTCTCGGAAACTGCTGAGGGTGGTTTTCCATGTGCTGAGAGGGCCTTCGGGCGACTTCACTTGCCTCCTAAAGAACATTCTCTGCGTGAGTAGGAAACGCACGAAGGGCCGAGACATTGAGGCTCTCGGAGCAGGAACGGTGATGGTTTGGGCCCGATGGAGCTGCCTGGGAGGTGAGCCCAGAGCTGCTTACCCCTAGAGTGCTCCCTCAGCCGGCGACAGCCCAGCTGTGCCTCCCTCCAGCCACCAGCACGCTGTCCGTGACCACCTGAGGGGCGCACAGCCCGCAAGGTCCTTCGCCAGCATCACGGAGCAGGAGGGGGGACTGTTTCCTGAGGGAACGAGCTTCCATCTCTTCCCATCACCCACGACACCGGGACTAGAGTTAGGACGCGCTCGCCAGGATTTGGTCTCCCCAGTTCTGCTGTGTGGTCAGCACCCGTTTCCCAGGAGAGAGCATTTGTCCTGTTTGGTCCAAAACTAAGGGCGACTCCATGCAGGTGCCGTGGAGCCACGAGCGTCCTCAGAATACACCTGAGTGACCACAGCGCCAGCCTCTCTCCCTGCCTGTCCCTCCTCGCCTCACACCCCGCTGCAGGAGGGGCAGCTGTGAGGAAGGGGTGGCTGGCCCCCTGGCCCTGTGGGCAGGAGGGGAAGTGTCCTCAGCCCGCGGGCAGGCGCTGTGTCCAGCAGGACCCCCTCGGGCCCTGTTCACACTCACACTCCCCGCTGGGCGGGCGCTGTGTCCAGCGGGACCCCCTCGGGCCCTGTTCACACTCACACTCACTCCCTGCTGGGCGGGCGCTGTGTCCAGCAGGAACCCTCGGGCCCTGTTCACACTCACTCACACTCCCCGCTGGGCAGGCGCTGTGTCCAGCGGGACCCCCTCGGGCCCTGGTTCACACTCACTCACACTCCCCACTGGGCGGGCGCTGTGTCCAGCAGGAACCCTTGGGCCCTGTTCACACTCAACAGGCAGGGTGGTTGCCTGTTTGCACGTCTGTCTCTGCGTGTCCTGGGCTCCGCACAGGCAGGGTGGTTGCCTGTTTGCACGTCTGTCTCTGCGTGTCCTGGGCTCCGCACAGGCAGGGTGGTTGCCTGTTTGCACGTCTGTCTCTGCGTGTCCTGGGCTCCGCACAGGCAGGGTGGTTGCCTGTTTGCACGTCTGTCTCTGCGTGTCCTGGGCTCCGCACAGGCAGGGTGGTTGCCTGTTTGCACGTCTGTCTCTGCGTGTCCTGGGCTCCGCACAGGCAGGGTGGTTGCCTGTTTGCACGTCTGTCTCTGCGTGTCCTGGGCTCCGCACAGGCAGGGTGGTTGCCTGTTTGCACGTCTGTCTCTGCGTGTCCTGGGCTCCGCACAGGCAGGTGGGTCGTGTGTCTGACGCTGGGTGGCGCTTGTCTCCTCCACCCTCGGCCCTGCAGGTACACTCGTTGAAGCTGGCCCTGGAAGGCGTGGAGAAGGAGCGGGACTTCTACTTCGGGAAGCTGCGGGAGATCGAGCTGCTCTGCCAGGAGCAGGGCCAGGAGAGCGACAGCCTCGTGCAGCGGCTGATGGAGGTCCTCTACGCCTCCGACGAGCACGTGAGTGGGGGGCGCTCGCTGGGGGCTCACCGGACTCGGGGAGGACACCGCGCAGCCAGGGCCCCTGCGGTTCCCA